GAAAGATATTTTGTCAAAGGTAAATCAATACCAATTACATTTTCAACAATATTTCAAGTGCAATTTATTACATTTGTTGTATTTTGAATCTGATGTTTCTTTATAAAAGGCATAAAGTTGATCATACTGATTTAAAAGTGTTGGATTAGTTTGAATATACACTGAACCAAAAACTATCATAACATCTTAATTGATAATTCAGTATACTTTATCTTTGACAAAACATCCCATGTTTCGATAGTGACTGCACATTTTCGGTAGTGACAGTAATGCTTTGGTAGTGACCACATCACATTACAGAATTTTAACTACACATTTTTTTGTATTTTAGTATGTATACATACTCAATTAGATTATATGTATGTATGTATACATATTTTTTTAACCAAACATCCACCTAAAAATAATGTACAGTGATATAAAATGTCTCATGTTGGTCATTCCTACCTTGAGGAAATCTCCCTCGTGAAGCTGGAAGGTGGTGGCTGTGATTTGAATCCCCTTGCCTCTGTTGGTCTCAATGCGGTAGATGCACTCATGGTTGTTGTCGTAATTTGCTGGGTAATTGGGGGACAGCAGGACACCCTGACTGCCCACAAAAGTGGCTCCACACTCAGCTAGGCAAACCCAGGAGGTATGGATGGGAAAGATTAGGTAGAAAAAAAAAATTGGTGAGAAGCCAAATGTTCACATAGCTACTGAGGGCAGAAAGCGCAAACTTATCAAAGCTGCACATGGCTGTGAAAAACTAGGGGTTGGTAACAAATAAGTTGGGTTCCCTTGAAGCCTGTAGTGCCCTGACAGCTGCTACTCCATTTCCTACTGACAGGCCAATTTTAGGCCAAGGTTTTGTGCCGTCTGGAATTTGAGTCTTTGTCATTTTGATGAATCACTGCGAGAACAACTTCAGAGGAATAGTAATTAATAGAGGCCTTTATGCATTACCAAGTTGCTGGTCACGAAAGCTCACTGCTGTGTTAGGATCAGATGTCCTTCTGTTTAATATTCTGCACCAGCGACTCTCTAAGTATATAAGCAGCAGGGGCATTCCCTCCGAGGAGGCAAGGGAGGCAGTGTCTCCTCAAAAAATTGGATGACAAAATAATCGATATTACAAACATAAATCACAAATATTACTAAATGTGGCATTAAAAGTATAAAAGACACTCGTTTTTATAACGTAACACAGTCTAACAGCGACACCCGCAGGTAAAGTTACAGCGGAGGCTTGCCTCCCTTCAGTCCATAGATTTACAACAGAGAGCCCTTAGCATGCCTTTTCTGTGTTGTAATTGAGAATGAATGGGGGAAAGTCACGTGAGAGGAGGCAATGTCTCCATCGCGATATGATTGGATATGATCAGTTATGATTGAATGTGATTGGTTCATGCAATAAATCCCACCTCTTGTCAGTGATGCCAGACGTAGTTAAAAATCATTTCAATACGTCATAAATAGAACGAGGCATCAGTTTACTGTCGGGTAAAAACCGTGTCGTGTCGCATTCAGTGCAAACAGTCACTGATTATAATGGTTTCTATAGTATTTTGTCACACTGCTCGCGTCCAATGTAAACACGGTACACCAAGTTATCTATTGTAGTAATTTGCAGGTCGTGTCAAAAAGTTGTTGGTTTAGATAAATATCTGTATTCTGTACGTTTGACTCGTGTACGATAATTTTCTTCCAAATACGATCATTTTGAGCTTCTGGTACGATACTTGGACATTTCCAATCTGGCAACACTGCCTCTTGTTTTCGTGCGAGCTCTCGGCCTGAATGATGAAAATGATGGCGTTATTGACTAATTATAAAGTAAGTTAACAACTCCCGCTTAGATACCACTACTTTGTGTCACGTCAAAATAAAAGCTGAAATGGTCTGAAAACGTGATGACTGCGTCAGTTTTTAGTGAGCATTCAGCGTGATTAAATAAAAAGATCATATCTTCGTGTCTTTCGCGTTTACAGATCTTTTATGACGATGACCCGAAATAAGTTGACTATTAAAAAGAACAGATGAACATCAGTTCACAAATAAAAAATATTGGTAACATTTTACAATAAGGTGTCGCTTAATGTGTTAACTACCATGAACAAACAATGAACATTTATTACAGTATTAATTAATCTTTGTTTACATTAGTTAATACAAATGCTGTTGTTCATTGTTAGTTGCAGTGCATAAACTAATGTTAACAAACACAACTTTTGATTTCAATAGTGCATTAGTAAATGTTGAAATTAATATTAACTAAGATTAATAAATGCTGTAGAA